AAAGGCATAAAAGGCATAATAGAAAAACTTTAAAACAGGTATTTTAAATTGTAATAATATTTCACAATATTACTGTTTTTACTGTATTTTAAATGCAGTCTCGGTGAGCGTGAGAGACTTCTTTCAAAAACATTTAAAAATCTTGCCGACCCCAGCTTTTGAAATGTAGTTTAACTACATTAGTATAAGCTAACACAAGCTACCTGCAAATTACAGCTAAAAAATGTCAGCTAACTACACAAATTTGCCATCAACAAAACATCTCCACCCTTCACAGAGAATCTCAATCCTGCTCCATATGACATTCCTGCAGAATTTAGCTCCAACCATAAAACATACCTGCTAATCAAAACGTAATCACTATATCAATTCTATAACCTTCCAAATGTGAATGATTAGAAACACTCTATAGGCAGCAACACTCTACACAGATAGCACTCTTCACATGAAGTGCATAAAATTCTTGCTAACTCTCACATTTGACTCTAATAGAGTTAGCATATTAATAAGCTAACAACTTACTGTAACAAACACAAAAGTTAGCCTACATAGCACACACAAATAGGCAATTAGGATACTACTGGCTAAAATATAAAGTATTGTTTCATCTTGTTAAATGTTTCTAATCAACATTTCAACTCTGTCTGGAGTGCTGTTCTGGACGCAACCTGCCACTGAGATGAATGGGAATGTTAACAGATAGCTTTCTCCAAGTACAAGAACTAAACTCTGCAGGAAGACAGATGTCCAGCAGGACTGAGCACCCCTAATCTATTCAATTCATTTTCTTACGGAAAACATCACATCCAACAATAGCATAAACACTTATGCTACCTCCAGATTATGAAAGTCAATCAGTTCTGGTTTGTGTCTGTGACTAAGTGCACAGAAGGCCAGTCCATCCTTCCAGCTATTGAAGCCACAAAAAAGAAAAAAAAGAAAAAAGTGAATTTCTGCAATGAGATTTGGATCTACTATATACTAAAAGTAAAATTAAGTTTTTTAAGAAGGTCCTTAGATTCCTGAGGGTGATGAACTGTTGAGTGTGATGAAGATGTTAGACACACATACTGTAAGCACACACCATCTGTGCAGTGATATCAACAAAAGGGAACATCATAATGTTGTGGCAGACATGCTATTTTTCTACTGTAATAGGACTGTTAGATCAAATGTCTCAGAGGATCAAAGGTTAATCTGGGGTCACACTTGAGACCTTGTTGAGTTTGGCGTAGTCAATGAGGTCAGGCCTGTGCCTGTGGATGAGAGCGCACAGCGCTAATCCATCCTTCCAGCTTCACCAGAGAGAGAGAATCAGGGTCATGTTGAAATTAACATAAAAACTGAAACTATATATAACTAAAAATAATAGAGTATCTGTTTTAACTGTTATTTTAAAATACAAAACATTGATATTACCTTTCAACGGTTTTGCACCCAAAAAGAGCCTCACCTGACATGAAAGTTTTGAATATTGACATTCCTGTAGGGAGCAGTCTTCCTCTGACACCACAGCAGAAGTCCTTCTTTGGCCGAAGTTTCTGAAAGACAATTAGTGAATCATTATATCATTCACACATGACTGAACAATCTAATTGTTATTTGGTATAAAATGATTTAAACATTACTAGGGGTTGTGAAATGTGCCATTAATAATAATAATATCAGTATATTTTGCTGTTTGTGCAAACATTTTGTGGAATTTTATGTTTGGGACTTGTTTTCTTTACCTTCAACAGAGATATCCTGAATGGCGAAGCGAAGGATGATGGTCCAGATCATTCCAAGAGTCATTTTCACATTCCCATCCACAATTTCTGCAAAAATATGACAGGAAAATCATTGCTCAATAAAAAAAAGGCTGGGCAAGTTAAAATGACATTAAATACTTTTTTTTAAATATAGGATATATAGGATTTTAAAATGCGCTATGTGACATGCAAAATTAATAACCTGCATCCCCTAATTACTATATTTATTCAATCTGTTTATTTATAAACAAAAACAAAATCCAGATTACTCTACAGTTATGCAAAAAAAAGCATACCTTCAGCTCCAATGGAGACCAGTTTCACTCCTTTACTGGTGATGAAATCAAGGGCTTTGTTGACATTGGCTATCTTGTGAAAACGCATCTTTCCTCTGTCAGGCTTGGGTAACCTCTCACCTGCCAAAATACAACGCAGTATGAAAAATTTAATTGGTATATATAGTTGATATTACATATCGTTGAGGAAGTTCAGCGTGTTTACTTTGAACATTCGACACTGTTAAATATCATCCTTATATTGTAATCATTAGGATCACAAGCTGTAATTATCACCATGTTCATTGTGTCTGCTTGACTGAACACATTACTTTGACACACTTATCTCTGACTGATAACAGAATACTTTCTGATTGTAATATTGAAACATACATGCAAGCTTCTTTAAAACAATAATGTACTGTGAAAAGTGCTAAACAAATGAACTTAAAGGAGACATATTACGCCCCTTTTGACAATATGTAATACAAGTCTCTGGTGTCCCCAGAATGTGTCTGTGAAGTTTCAGCTCAAAATACCCCACAGATCATTTATTATATCATTTTGAAAATGCGTATTTTGAGTGGAAGCAGAAACACGCCGTTTTTCGTGCCTGTCTCTTTAAATGCAAATGAGCTGCTGCTCCCCGCCCCCTTTTCCAGAATAGAGCTGCGC